GCCGAAGTCGGAAGCTTAACCGACTGAGCCACCCAGGCGCCCCCTCAAAATAAATACACTTTAAAAAAAAATTGTGAGGCTTTGTAGGGCACCCCAGGCTAAGCATGAACTCTAGAGTTGGCACACCTGGGCATAAATCCTAGTTTTATTTACTGTGTAACCTAAGGCAAGTAATTTTTACCTCTCTGGGCCTGTAACTATCTAAGCTTATAGCTGTCCAAGTTTACTTAACCAGAATATACACAATCTTTACCCAAACAAGGACTTTACCATATAATCAGAAATGTGCCCCTGCAGGGACTTTAGACACCACTTCTTATACTGATTTTCAAATTGTATATAAAATATTATTCTAACTCAGAATTTGGAGAATTTCAAGCAACATGAAATTGCTTTCTCTCAAAATTTATACTAACCCAGACTTTCCCAAGATGAAGCGCTTCTATGTCTTTGGTGTACTTTATGGCATTCTTCAATTCCTCAAGTCCATTCCAGACAACCTTTAGCACACAGGACTTAGCAGCTTCTTGACTATGTTCTGAGCTGATTTGTTTTTGATCTAGTGGTTCTGATATCTGCTTCCCTTTTTCAGGTGACAGGACATTTTGTTTTGTTTTACTTTGCTGTTGCTTTGGAGAAAGTAGCTTAATTAGCTTTCCATAGGTCACAGTAAAGCTGGGCTCCACATCAAAATATTCCTGGTCCCATGGAAATACATGAACAGCATAGTGTTTGCGAAACTCAGAAGTTGTTGTTGCATTACACATGCTGGGAGGCTGCGATTTGCACACTCTAAAAATATTGTCTAGAGGAACGACTTTGGACTGCATATTTTTGAATGCATTCATTTCAGTTAAACCCCAAGATAGCTCTTGTTTCTTCTCAGACCCAAAAGAAAAAATGCTTCCTATCAAAGTCCATAAGCTTGGCACGGATGGTGAGTCAACTGTAACTTCTGTTTTATTAGACCTATTGTGAAATTTCCCATGTGCATTATCTGCTTTTGAAACTGTCTTCTCTTTGGCCTGGCGGGTCTTTGGCTGAATAAGGAGTGTGGTGTCAGCTTCCAGCCTTCCATAAGCAGCAGCTGGAATCAGTGCAACTGTGTGGAAAATAAAGCTCATTAGTACGTGTTCACCTCTGCTATGGATGCATTACCATGGAGTACAGTGGAAAAATATAATAACACCTACCAATTTGGATGAATATGTAAGTTTGTTGATCAACCCAAACAGGAAAAATGGCTTTCGGAAAAACTATTCGAATCTGATCTAGCAGATGCTGTTCAAGGGAAGCAGCATGTAGTTCCTACAACCAACAAACAAACAAATCAATTCACTTCATGTTTAGTCCATTCTGTGTCTGGTAAGGAAATCACAAGTCATTCTTATAACTCGAACCAGCTCAGAATATATAATGAAGCTCAGAAAAGAGAAATCTAGAGACACTGATATTTTGGCTTCCAGTTATGGAAGGAGTAAGTCACAGGGCTAAAAGGTACAGCATAGGAAATATAGTCAGTGGTATCATCACAGTGTTGTATGGGGACAGATGGCAGCTACACTTGTGAGCATAGCGTAATGTACAGAGATGTTGAATCACTATGTTGTATGCCTGAAACTACTGTAACATTGTACGTCAACTATACTTCAATACAAACAAACAACTATTTTGAAGCAGTTTAACCTTAAACCGGGATAATTCTCATTGTGTTTTCTTTACCAGTATCTCCCAATCATCTGCTGATAGGGGTTCCACCTCCACTTGTTGACAAGACACCACATGGGAGCACAGCTTGAGAAACACCTGGAATAAATAAAAAATGTAAAACTACTTTTAAAATATTTTTTGTAAAAAAAATTTTTTTTTGCATCCCTAGAAAAGAAGAAGTTCTCTCTTTAGGTAAATAATAAAGTGTGAGTGAGTGAATGAACGAGTGTGCGTGCCTGTGTGAGTGTGTGCCTGCCTGCACTGGGTGGACCTTCATTTGACAAATATTTATTAAGTACCTATTCTTAGCTAGGCCTTCATATACCCCAACATTTTAGGAAAAATTGTTTCACAACTAATTATAGAAAAAAAGAAAATACACCCTAGCACAACAGATTTAAAAAAAAAAAACAAAATAAAGATAACCATTAACAAAAGAAATGTAATTTAAAAATGCGAGAAGGGTGCCTAGGTGGCTCAGTTGGTTAAGCATCCGACTTCGGCTCAGGTCACGATCTCACAGTTCGTGAGTTTGAGCCCTGCGTCAGGCTCTGTGCTGATGGCATGGAGCCTACTTGGGATTCTCTCTCTCTCCCTCTCTCTTGGCCCCTCCCCTGCCCATGCTCTCTCTCTCTCTCTCAAAATAAATAAATAAACTTAAAAGAAAATAGAAGAAGAAACAATGTCATCAAGTCATGGCTTAATCTAGCATATACACACTCTATTATTTCTAGAAGTTTTAAGACTTTTAGTTTTATAACTAACCTGCATGGTACTTCTAGAAAAGTCTAGAAAAGTAAAAAAAAAATAATAATAATAATAATGCTCAGAGATCAGAGAAAATTATTTAGAAGTATAAACATTCACAGCTAAAAGTAAAGTAAAACAAATATACCCTCATTCCAGTCTACAGATACATATGAAATGCCAGTGTGTCTTTTGGGGTGCCTGGCTGGCTCAGTCAGAGCATGCAACTCTTGATCTCGAGGTTGTGAGTTCGAGAAATAAATAAATAGAACTTAAAAAAAAATAAAAAGATGGGGCACCTGAGTTGCTCGGTCAGTTAAGTGTCCAACTCTTGATTTCAGCTCAGGTCATGATCTCACCATGGTCATGAGCCCTACATCAGTTCATGAGCCCTGCACTGGGCTCCATGCTGACAGTGTGGAGCCTGCTTGGGATTCTCTCTCTCTCTATCCCTCCCTGCACTCACTCTCTCTCCCTCTCTCTCTCTCAAAATAAAAGAAAAAAATTTAAAAAAAAGAAAGAAAGAAATGTTAGTGTTTCAAGAAGCTGCAATCTACCACCTAACTTTCTTTTCCCTTTCTTTAGGCATTTCTGAGGATTGAGGAGTAAAATCCAAAGCCACCAAATGTTACATGCTCCAGTTAACCAGCCCTTCCTTTATTGCTTCTGCGGATTGGAGCAGAATTTCCCCCAAGTGCCTCACCCTCAGTGAATTTCCCGTTAGTATTTCCCCATACACCCTGTTTGAAAGGGGCGATTCCAGGGAAGCACAGAGCAGCTCCCACCCACCAAGAAGCTAGAGTCCTGGGTGAGCCAGTTCACCTTGTTCCTATTCTTTGGGAGACAGTGACTTAGTGGTATTGCTACAATATAGAAGATCTGCAGAAAATCAGGTAAAAGTTCATTCTGAAGCAAACAGGCATTAGAAACCAACAGGCCTGTTCAGAGGCAGATGAAGACATCAAGATCAGGGACAAGAAGCTGGTGTTTCTCTCTGGAAAGTACCACATATTCTAAGAGAGCAGAACTTTAACTTGCTGTGCAATCCTGGGCAAAATGTTCTGTCTCCCTAGGTTTGTAGAGCAAGGAACCAAAATTAGTGATGTCTAAGTCACTCTGGTGCTAAAGTTTTAAGATTCTAACAAAGACTTAGGGTAAGCGAAGGACTAATACTAGGACTATGGATTTCTCATTAGTGGCCTTTTCTCATTATCAAAAGCAAGCATGAACAAAATTAGTCTATGTTCAAAACAAGATAAAGAGATGTAACATTCTCATATACTGTTATGGGAAGCTGGTAATAGAATGCATTTTAGCCCCATCTATCAGAATTTTCAATGTGTAGCCCCCCGGACTCTGTAAGTCAATCTGTAATGTTTCATTCTATACGGATTCAGAGATGTTCAATGCATACTGTAGTATGTGGAAAGGTACCTCTGATATACTTTGTGGGGAAAACTGCAGAAAATGTGTATGATTAAAAAAAAAGAAAATGTGTATTCTTCCTTCCCTTTCCTTTCCTTCCTCCCATTCTTTAAATCCTAAAGGTGTACTAAGATCCCAACATACAGTACACATTCATTCTGAGGCTGGGGTTAGAGAAATCCATTTTTTTTACTTTCAATTGTAAATATTTGCAATGAATATGTATTATTTCCATAGTTTAAAGTATTTAGAAGGACATAAATTGGTGAATACAATAAAATGAAAAACTAGACGTAAGTCCTTAAGCTTTGAGGTTTATAATTAAATTCATAGGCAAGACAAAAATAGAAAAATAACAACTTTTTTGTTGGATAGATTTTTTAAAAATCATGTATGACTCTGGAAGGTTAGAAGATTTGCTGGAAGTAAATGAAGTCTAGTAATAGTAAGTAAAACTCAATAATTCATAAAGTAAAAATAATTGCACACAAACAAAATTAGGGAACCTGGAAAGTGAGTGAAATAGATAGAACACAAAATCAACTAGGGAGCAGAATACAAGATAAAGATTTAACAACAGAGCTTACAGTCAACTTGCATATCCTGGACTGGTTATAGCAGCACACAAGTTAGGTGTCATCTCACCTCCTTAAAAAATTAATTTGAATGTTTACTTTCCATTGTTATATTATGTGACATCAGGAAAAAGTTACAGTCATCACATTTTGTACTCACCTGGTCCCCATTTGAGAGTCCAAGTTTCTGACCAAGTTGTCTGTTAATTTCAGCCACACTGTCACCTTGATCACTAAAATGCCTGCCTTCTACCCAGCTCAAGAATGCAGGCTGATGACCCCAGGCCACTTCTATAGCTTGATTCTATTTATTAAAGAAGAAAGGAGGTGTATGAGAGTTTTTGTGTGCTTTTCTGTATTCACATTAAAGATAAACTATTATTGCAATCCACACATACAAAAAGAGTTCTATAGATAGGCGATAGGTCTTGGTTGTGCACATCAGAGCATTTAAAAAACTATAATCATTTCTAATACCCAAGACTGGTGATGCTGTGGGTAAAACCAATACTCTTACATTCTTATGATGGCAATACAAATTGATTCAACCATTCCAGAATTCAAAATGGCAACAGGTAGCCAATGAATTTATATAAACTTTGAGCTAGATGTATATATTTGAATATTTATTCTGAATTAATGATTGACAGAAGAAAACCACACCAAAACATATCTCTGCAATATTTTCTGTAACAGTAAAAACTTAGAACTGTCTCAAATATCTATTAATAAGAATATCATTAAATAAGTTACAAATTTACCATTTTGGTAAAGCATGAGTCAGTAAGTAGAAATATATCATGATCATTAAAAATATAACTGGGGCGCCTAGGTGGCTCAGTCAGTTAAGCGTCCGACTTCAGCTCAGGTCATGATCTCAGTTTGTGGGTTCAAGCCCCATGTCGGGCTCTGTGCTGACAGCTCAGAGCCTGGAGCCTACTTTGGATTCTGTGTCTCCCTCTCTCTCTGCCCCTTCCCAGCTTGCACTCTGACTCTCTCTCTCTCTCTCAAAAATAAATAAACATTAAAAAAATTTTTTTAATGTAACAGTATGTTAATTAAAGGGGAATAAATGCACATGGTAAAACCACAAAAATTACAAAAGCATAAAACATGAAGGCAGGTTCCTGTTCCCAGAGGTAATTACTATTAGCAGCTTCTTATGTACACTTTCAGAAATTTTATATTATGCAGCTTCATAAATAACTTTAAGCTTTAGAACTAAGAAATTGTATGTGCAAGTAATTAAATCAAAATATAACATGTATTTTCAGGGCGCCTGGCTGCTCGGTAGGTGCAGCATGCGACTCTTGATCTCGGGATTCTAGGTTTGAGTCCCATGTTGGGTATAGAGATTACTTAAAAATAAAAATATTTTAAAAAATGTGTTCTCAGGATGCCTGGGTGGCTCAGTTAGTTGAGTGTCTGACTTCAGCTCAGGTCATGATCTCATGGCTCATGGGTTCAAGTCCCTCATCAGACTCTATGCTGACAGCTCAGAGCTTGGAGCCTGTTTCAGATTCTGTCTCCCTCTCTCTCTGCCCCTCCCCCACTCCTGTTCTCTCTCTCTCTCTCAAAAATAAACACTTAAAAAAATTAAAAGGACTTCATTGATAGCCATGAAAACTTACCACTTCATGACATTTTAGTATTATTAAAGTCATTTATTAATATTAAAATTAAGTCATTGATGCACTGAATTGTTAAATATTAAATTCATTCATTTCCATCAAATCTTACTACCTCAAAACTGGTTATAGGCTGCTTATTGTGCTTCTTTCTTTTTTTTAAATATTTCATTTTTGAGAGAGGGCACGGGCGGGGTAGGGGGAGAGAGGGCAGAGGATCCACAGTGGGCTCTGTGCTGACAGCAGCGAGCCCCATGTAGGTCTTGAACTCAGAAGATCATGAGCTGAGTCGAATCTGACACTCAACTGACTAAGCCACCCAGGCACCCCTACTGTGTTTCTTTACATAGGAAAAATTTCAAAGGATTTTGAGGCAATATAATGTACTTTCAACTAACCATGTTATTAAAACTTTTTATACAAGAAAGTCATCGTGTATCTCTTAATTGTATAATTTTTCTCACAATTCACAGGATAGTCTAACTGTTCTTGCTGATGCTAAGCACAGTGTAATAAAGTATACAGAGCACTGGACTGGAGTCAAATTCCAGATTATTATGTCAGCTGTAAGTATGTTAACTGAGGTTACAGGGTGAAGATGACCAACTCCCTGGGTGTTTTCCACAGTTTCATCAGTCAGTGGCATATAATCCAGATCAACTCTTATTTCATAAGAAGAAAATTTTATTTTTTTAAATGGGGCAGGTTTTAAATTTATTTATTTTTAAGTAATCTCTACACCTAATGTGGGCCTCAAACTCACAAGCCCGCGATCAAGAGTTGCACACTCCACCGACTGAGTCAGCCAGGCACCCCTACAGAAGAAACTTTTAAAACTAGAGATGTTAGGGGCGCCTGGGTGGCGCAGTCGGTTGAGCGTCCGACTTCAGCCAGGTCACGATCTCGCGGTCCGTGAGTTCGAGCCCCGCGTCGGGCTCTGGGCTGATGGCTCAGAGCCTGGAGCCTGTTTCCGATTCTGTGTCTCCCTCTCTCTCTGCCCCTCCCCTGTTCATGCTCTGTCTCTCTCTGTCCCAAAAATAAATAAACGTTGAAAAAAAAAATTAAAAAAAAAAAAAACTAGAGACGTTAAATAAGGAGATGCAAAATATGGCCTCAAATATCAAAAATGAGAATTCTACCAACTCACTGGAAAAGGGAAAAACTGACTTTATTAAACAGGAAAAATACTTCAATTATTCCTTTGGTCAATGTGTAATAACCAGCTCCATAATCATAATACACGTTCAGTTGGATTTTGCAAACTAATATTGTGAGTCCATTTTCATGTAAAACATTTTCCACCTGAACTGCAGAACCACTGGGCACTCAGGTAAAGAGAAGAAACCCACAGACTGGAAAGAGAGGAGCCCCTCTCCCAGGAATTCAATCAGTAAATATCTGCTTTTGCCATTACCTGTGGTATTGGTATAATCTGGAGGGAACTTTTCAGGTGAAATCACAGGTAGTCATGCCTTAGGACTGGCCAGATTTGAGGCCCAGGTTATCTTTTGCTAACACAAAAGAAATGACAAGTCTGTACCTGGCCATTTCCGGATGGCCATTTAGGTTTATTTGTTTGAATTCAGTGTGGATGTGAATCCTTTCCCCCATTTCAGCCATCACAGCAAGCACTGAGCCTAGCATACAGACAAAATAACTCAGGTAAAGCAATAGTTCTCAACGCAAGGGTGATTTTGTTTCCCAGGAGACATCCGGCAATGTCTGGAGACATTTTTAGCTGTCACTGCTGAAGGGGAGAGATGCTACTGGTATGTAGGGCCTAGAGATCAAAGTTCCTGTAAACATCTTACCATACCCAGCACAATCCCCCATAAGAAAAAATTATCCAGCCTAAAGAGCCAAGATTAAAAAATCCTGAGTTAAAGCATCTACTGGGTACCCAGTCCTGAAATAAGAACTTGGATAAACAAAACAATACTTGAAACACAGAGCATGACAAGGGAGATGTGTCACATAAACAGAGCAGTGAAGTTTTGAAAAGGAGACACAGGTGAGCAACAGAGAATCTGAAAGCTAGGCAGAGGAGGTAAGATTGATTATGCTCAGTTTTTAAAGTCATGGAAGGAGGGAAAACATTTTGGGAAGAAAGAATAGCACAAATACACAAGTGGAAAGGAGCAGGGTTATGGAAGAAACAGTGCTGCACACTGAGTGAGAGACAAGAGGACAAATTAACTGTGTGGAAATACCAGCCTAGGAGTGCCAGTGAGTACAGAAATGGCCTAGATACCCAACGTTCCTTTCACCATCAACAACCTAGGAATCTGTAACAGTGGGTCCCAATTCTTGTACATCCAAATAGCCCAAAGTTACTTTTTAAATTACAGATGCCTGAAGTTCACTCCCCAAGATTCTGATTCAGTAGGCCTGAGGAAGGAACAGAACATTCGTATTTTTAAAAGCTCAAGGTAAGTCTGACACAGGCCAGAAGGCCATTGTTCTGGCCCTCTTCTCATTTCAACATTATAGACATTATGTATTCCATGCTTCAACCCAAATAAAATAATTCAACCCATTAACTCCCAACTCATGACTTTATGCTTTAATAATTAGCCATGCCCTCTAGCCCAGTAATTCTAGGGGGAAAATTATCCAGAAAAAATTACAGAGAAGTAAAGTGAAAAAGTAGGATACTTAAAATTATTGTAAACTATTGGGGCACCCGGGTGGCTCAGTCGGTTAAGCGTCCGACTTCAGCTCAGGTCATGATCTCGCGGTCCGTGAGTTCAAGCCCCGCATACGGCTCTGTGCTGACCGCTCAGAGCCTGGAGCCTGTTTCAGATCCCTCTCTCTCGACCCTCCCCCGTTCATGCTCTGTCTCTCTCTGTCTCAAAAGTAAATAAATGTTAAAAAATTTTTAAAAAATTATTGTAAACTATTAAATATTTCCTGCATGATCAGTCAGTGCTGGGTACCATGCATCCACGATTTCTGAGGATTTCAAATATCCTATCCTTCTGCCCGCATAAGCACACTCACACTTGTAGACTATGTGCCTCTATTTCTACTTATGAAAATACGGATGCTGTCTCTGCCAGTGCTTAGAAGGGTAACTGACGACAGAGTTTCAAGCAAACCTACCTCTGTACTTCCAAGTATGCATAATTCTACTGCACATTCCTGGTACACCTCGGATGGGTTCCGAGCATCGGCGACACAGGGAAGAACCTTCATTTTCTAACCTACCCTGCTCAGGGAGACGGTGCTTAGTCTCTGTTAACGTGCCCTTCAGTTAACAGGGACTCTGCAAACCAAATCTGCCCCTCCCTCTGGAGGCCCGGACGGCAGTCGGGCAGGCACCAGGAAATCACTAGCAGGAAAAACATTCTTGAAGGTAATAAAAATTACCGACTTCCCAGGAGCCTTTCCAAACTGGAGTGAGGAATATTTCCCAAAGCACACGTAGAACACTGGGATGATTGAAAGCCCACTCTTAGCGAGTGAAAACACCTGGAATAGGATAAGTTTAAGGCCCAGTGCTGCACCAGACGTGGTGTGGGCTGCATAGTGTGCCCCCCGCGGGCCCTGCCCTCGAGGGGCCTTCAGTCTGGCCTCGGAACGGCTCGGCGGAGACGGAAAGGCAGCCCGTTCCACGCCTCCGGGAGAGGCCCGAGCCGCCGCCGCGTCCCTGAAAGACCTTGACTCGGTCCGCCCCCAGGCTGCCGACCAGGTGTCCCGAGTCCGAGCTGGGGGCCCACGTCCAGGGCCGGCGCCTTACCTGCAGCAAGTGAAGCTGGGCCACGAGACGCCGCGGCAAGTGGAGGAAGCAGTCTCGAACGTTGGTGAAGACCACAGTCACCGCTACCCCACCACCCTCCGCACCCGCCAGGCGATCGCCACCCCACATGGCCGGCAAGCACAAATTCCTCCGAACGTACGCTCCAGCGGACTCGGGCCACTGGGCCTGCCGAGTGTGTCAGAACCGGAGAAGATCGATCGGCCCCGCCCCCTGAGGCCACGCCCCTCTCGCCTCGCCCCCGTACCCAGTGGGCAAGCAAGCGTCTCCAGCTCTCCGAGGCCTCTCCGCCGGTCCGCTGGAGGGCGGCATCTCGTTCACCGAAGTCACACTCACAGGAAACGATGCCCGACGCTATCGATTCTCCAGCCAATCGTGGCACGCCTTGACCTATCTCCCCCTCTTATTGGGTGAGCGGGAGTGCGACGAGACGGATGTTGTCGTTTTTGCAAGGGGCCAAGCCGTCAAGATGGCGGCTAGTGGCGGGGAGCTTGGAGGTGTATTTGATCACCATGTCCAGAGGGCTGTATGCGACACGCGGGCCAAGTATCGGGAGGGGCGACGGCCTCGTGCTGTCAAGGTAAAGTGATTTCGGTTTCATCCTTTGTCCTTGAGAGCTTTATTTTCGCTGTGATCCCACATCCCAGCATATGTAAATAAAGGTTTGAAAGGCTGCGATCCTATCCGTCACTCATTGGAGATGGGTATGAGAATCTCTGGTACTCAAGTTACCAAAGATTCTCAAGAACCCTTCGGTCAACTGCTAGAACGTCAGCTCCGCAAACACAGTGCTTTGCGTTAGTCATTGCGTCTTTCATGTTTACAATAGTGCGTGGTGCGTGGTAAGCACTCAATGAATATTTGTTCTCTCTTTGTAGTAACTTCTCCCAAGCCAACTTCTGGAAAACATGTCGATTGAAGAAAATTTATTCTTTAGTTAGATTCTCGTGGGGTGAATTTACTTTTTCTTTTCTGCAGACAGGTTGAACAGAATGTTTCTTGTTTTCAGAGGCTTTTTTTTTAAGCTTTTTTACTTTAAATATCAGTGTAAGTAATATACAGTGTTATGTTAGTTTCAGGTGGGCAATATAGTGATTCAGCAGTTCTGTATATTACTCAGTATTCTTCATGATAAGTGTACTCATTAACCCTAGAGCAGTTTTTAAAAATAGTTTTGTCCTAGGCTTTTTGGGGAAGTATATTTTTATGTGTTTGCATTTCTTTTAGGTATATACAATCAATTTGGAATCTCGGTACTTGTTAATACAAGGAGTTCCTGCAGTGGGAGCGATGAAGGAATTAGTTGAGCGATTTGCTTTGTATGGTGCAATTGAACAATATAATGCTCTAGATGAATACCCAGCAGAAGACTTTACAGAAGTTTATCTTATTAAATTTATGAATCTACAAAGTGCAAGGTAATTTGCAAGTTAAGCATAAGTTTTGTCTCCCCCATCCCCATTGCTATCATTTTGGCCCTGGTTTTCCCTCATTTATATCTGAATTACCCAATAACCTAATATTGCCCTGTATTACTCTGGTCTTACTCTAGTCTTAAGTGTTAGCCTTATCAAAACACTATTCACATTGTGTCATTCCCATGCTTAAGAATCTTCTGTCGTGTATTGTGGTAGATTAAAAAATGGGTTTGGAGTTAAGTTTTTGAGCTCCACTGCTTACTAACATCATGACTTTGGACAAGTTGTTTAACTTCAGTAAGCCTGTTTTTTTTCCATTCTGTAAAATCTGTATGGTAAAAGGACCTATTCACTGAAGTTGTGTGAGGATAATGAGATAACCTATGTAAAGGGCTAAGTGTAGTGCCTCCTGTTCAGAATGCAGTAAACGTTAGGTATTGAAGTTCTTATTGTTACGCATCTATGTGAATTGACCCCATTTTTTCCAGTCTTCTCTGTAACATAAATTCTTCTCCAATAAGGCTGAAGTATGAAATGCCTTACCTAGTTTTATGTTGACCCCATTCTTGTCACTAATTTGCTCCAAGACTCATCCTTCTTTGGCTGTTGCCATTCATAGTTTCTTTATTATATTTTTTAAAGATTTTAAGTAATCTCTATACCCAACATGGGGCTCAAACTTACAACCCCAAGATCAAATGTTGCATGCTCTACCCAGCTAAGCCAGCCAGGAGCCCCATCATTCATATTTTCTTTCTGTACTACAAATAGCACTTGCAGCCTGCCACAAAAGCAATTGATTTTATGTGGTTGTATATTATTCTCAGTTTGCTCTTATATGTAATCTCACTTCCCCTAATCACTTCCCCCTAGCCTGCTCTTCATGGTCAGGGAAACATATTTGCTAGAACTTTTGCACCTCCCATAGCACATAGTACATTATGTGAAGTTCAATATCTTGCTTCGAATTGTAGCTCTACAAACCAATGTGAGTATGGCTAAGTTATAAATCTTCCTAGGCCTCAGTTTCATCATAGGGTTTTTATGAAGTGTTAATTCAGGTGAAGCATTTCAGGCACTGCCTGGTGCGTGAAAAATATCAGTATTTTTATCATTATCCCTGGGCACAGAAGTACTTAAATATTTATTGTAGTATAATGCCTGGCCAGTCATAAATGTTTAATAAATATTTTTTGAATACCATTCTTTGACTTTGTCATTGATTAGTTATATATTCAGCATTTACTCAATTACTGAAGATTTTATAATTATAATATTATTAATTTTTATATATGAATCCCATCATAGGAACAAAACTGTGGTGAAAAGACTAAACTGGGTATGAGCTAACTCTTAAGGGCCATTTAATTTAACACAGAGAAATCTGTATTTCATGACCATAGATTGTGTACCTCAGGTTAACTGCTGGGGATCCTAAGTTGGTTAAAGGGGGTCTGGATATGTGTGGATAACTTAGCTCAAAACCTGTTAGCACTATAGAGAGTTCTAAGAGTATTCCCTACATCAGTAGAATCAATACCATCCATAAGGAGAACATCTTAATTCCCAACCCATAGGAAGTATATACACATAACAAAAGCTGAACTTTACTGTTTAGATCAATGCACTGTATCCTAGTTCAGCTATTATCCTAAGTAAGTCAAGATTAATAAACCATGCTATCATGTATTTCTGTTTAGGACAGCCAAGAGAAAAATGGATGAACAGAGTTTCTTTGGTGGATTGCTTCACGTGTGCTATGCTCCAGAATTTGAAACAGTTGAAGAAACTAGAAAAAAATTACAGGAGAGGAAGGCTTATATAGCAAGAACTACTAAAAATAAAGGTATGGAAAGCCTGTTACTAAACACCTTCAATGTGTAAGGCACTCTGCTAGGTATATCATCATGGAGCTCCCAGTCTGGTGGGAAGAGAGGCAAATAAATGATCACAATATTTAAGAACTCTGCAGCACTCTTATGGAATATGGGCTGGAAAGGGAGAGATGTTGGTTTGTGGAAGCCTTCCTATAGGATGAGAGAGGTGGCTGAGTTTTGAAGGAGTAGACATTACTCAGGAGGCGAGAGGAAGAGATGGAAAGGTCGGCCAGGTAGAAAGTTTAAAGGTCCAGAGGAATAAATGAGCAGTATGCGTTTGAAGGAACTATGAATAGTACAGGATAACCGCAACACAGGGATTGCAGTGAGAGGGAAGATTAGAGGACAGGAACTGAATCATGAAGGGCATTGTGTCACAGGCTGCGGAATTAAGGTTTGACCTAAAGGCAATGAGAAACAATTATGATTTGCAGACCAGTTACCAACTGCTAATCTAAAACTGCTAATTGTGGAAAAGTTCCACTTTTGACCAGCAGCTGGCCAGGTGCCCCATATGCCCAACTGAGTTTCCCTAGACACAAATTCTAGGTGCCTGGAATGGAGCCATGGGCTTTGGTACATGGACTGTAGGAACAGAGTACTAAGAATTGGACTGAAATAATGTGTGTGGTCTGAAATCTGAATAGTACTGGAAATCCACATTACTAAATATCTACCCTTTAGTTGAAGGACAAAGTAATTGTGCAGACACCTATTGAATATAATGAGTGATTGGGGAAAGGGCAGGTGGCAGAGGTGAAGAGAGATAGAAGGTAGGAAGACTCTTGGAAAACTTACCTTAAAATTTGGCAAGAGAGCTGTTGAGAGTCCCTGATTACTTGTAGACAATGAACTTTTAACCTGTGGGATATGTGAATAGCTCCAGGAGAACTTATGTTTGTGTGCCAAATAAAATTACAAAATATGGGTCCAGCCTGTTGCCTCCTTTAAAAACTAACAAACACCAACTAAGCAGCATGATACATTCATGTAGTAGAATGCTCCAAAGCTGTAAAAAAAGGAGCATTCTATGTAATGACCTAGGAAAAAAAATCTCTAAGATCTACAATTAAGTGGAAAACACAAAGGTGCAGAGAAATGGCTATTACGGGGAAAAAAAGAGGAGTAGGCAGGGGGAAGAAAAGTAAGACATACTGGACAGATAAATAAGAAAGTAAGAATGGGATTACTTATGGGTGGAGGGTGGAAACCAGGCATATAGGGGGTAAAGACAGTGTGAAGTGTGACACTAATATACTCTTTATACTTTTTAAACACATGAATGTATTACCTGCTCAAGAAAAAAAAATTTTCAGGGTAGCATTTGTTAACATTTTAAAGTAGTGTTTGTTTTTAAAATCACACATTTCTGAATAATGAAAACAGTAAACAAACCATTTTTTTCCTCTTCTCTCATCTTTTAAATTGTAACATAAAGATCATTACGTGACAAAGAAGAAACTGGTTACGGAGCTTAAAAACACACAAGATTTTAGACAGGACTTCCATTCAGAGACCTCTGGATGTGCAGCCACATTGAACACTTCTACTGGCAACTCAGATCCTTGTCTTCCTTATTCTTGTGAATTGCCTTTATGTTATTTTTCCTCGAAATGTACATGTTCATCAGGGGAGCATATGGACAGGGCATCAAACTTCTCTCAGGATGGTAGAAACCATGAAGAAACATTGGAGCATTGTATGCACAGTGACTCTTTGCAGAAAATACGGGTGAAACCGTTTAAAAATTCATCGGCCTGCCCTGGCGCACAGAAGGCTATTACTTCTTCAGAGGCAGTTGACAGATTTATGCCTAGGACAACACAACTGCAGGAGCGGAAAAGAAGAAGAGAAGATGATCGTAAAATTGGAACTTTTCTTGGAACAAGCACAAGTAGTGATGAGGTTATGATTGGGCCTCTGTTACCAGACTTACCCAAAGTGGATATGCACGATGACTCGTTGAACACGACAGCAAATTTAATTCGGAATAAACTTAAAGAGGTAAGATCATTTTTAAAAATTTTTTTTTTTTCCACATTTTTATTTATTTTTGGGACAGAGAGAGACAGAGCATGAACGGGGGAGGGGCAGAGAGAGAGGGAGACACAGAATCGGAAACAGGCTCCAGGCTCTGAGCCATCAGCCCAGAGCCTGACGCGGGGCTCGAACTCACGGACCGCGAGATCGTGACCTGGCCGAAGTCGGACGCTTAACCGACTGCGCCACCCAGGCGCCCCTGAGGTAAGATCATTTTTAAAAAAACTGTTTTGAGAGATCATTTGGTTATAGGGCTAACAACTAAATGGAGATTTGTGGCAACTAAAGTATTGTCATTAATTTTTTTTGTTTTCAGTTTTTTTTTTATTTTTTAAAAAAAAAATTTTTTTTTTCAACGTTTATTTATTTTTGGGACAGAGAGAGACAGAACATGAACGGGGGAGGGGCAGAGAGAGAGGGAGACACAGAATCGGAAACAGGCTCCAGGCTCTGAGCCATCAGCCCAGAGCCTGACGCGGGGCTCGAACTCACGGACCGCGAGATCGTGACCTGGCTGAAGTCAGACGCTTAACCGACTGCGCCACCCAGGTGCCCTGTTTTCAGTTTTTTGATGTGTTTTTCTACAGTTCCTGTTGAATTAACTGAATCTGATGAACAGAAAAGTATGTGCTTTGATATCATTAGCCTTTGCTTTAAACAGTGAGCAGAACAGAGGCGCCTGGGTGGCTCAGTCAATTGAGCATTTGACTCTTGATTTCAGCTCAGGTCATGAACTCTTGGTACATGAGTTTGAGCCCTGCATCAGGCTCTCTGCTGTCAGCAAGGAGCCTGCTTTGGATCCTCTGTCCCCTTCTCTCTGCTCCTCCCCCACTTGTTCTCTCTGTCTCAAGAATAAACATTAAAAAAATGAACAGAACATATTCTATGTCATTCTAGATATAAAACATAAAAGCAGTGGTTTCAGTCCATGAGATCAATCTGTGAGAGTGGAGCCCAGGCCCTCTCTTTTTAAAGCTCCCCAAATGGTTCTATTATGAGTCAAAGTACAGAATTATTGTGTTGAAGGAAAACTTTTTCTCAAGTTCAGTGTTCTTACAAATTACATCAAAATGGTTTTTGCTTCTTTGATAAAGATAGCCATAGAATGAGGTGAGATTATTCTAAAGACTAGGCCCTAAGGTCTGCATTTCAAAATGTAAACTTCTTAAATAGATTACAACTCAACTGTCCTAATTAAGTACTAATTTTTTTACATATTTACATAATCATTTTCCATTTTCTAAGCACAAATAAAAGAAAGCTAACGTTTGAGTTAGCTTTTGAAAGATAGCTTTTTGTGGGGTAAACCTTTTATAAATCAAACTGAGGGAAAACAACCTTCTTTTAAACTTTAACTCTGGAGGTTCAGAAAGGGCTTTTCACGCAGTTGTAAATGTATTTTACAATGTGATTAAGGGAATCTAAGGTAGCTTCATTTATTTTATGTATATGTTTTTACCTGAAAATTACTATCTGATTAAGGATGAGGGCTTATGTTATAATATTAAAAGTCTGTGAACACAATTTCCATGCTTAAGCCTCTTTTTAAATGTTTGAGTTTGTGCTGGCCCTTTTCTTCCTTCAGATACAGTTGAACTGAGGCATAGATGCGGGTACATAGCTCCCTCAGCCAGAAATGACTATATTTTCAAGAAAAAAGTTGTTAGGTCCAAATCCTAAGTAAGGAGACAATAGAACAACAAAATGGAGAAATACTGAATACAACTTACACAGTTTCTAATAATTTTACATGTTAAGTGAAGACTGTCTTACTCTGCTTTAACTCATTGTCAACTCTTTTTCCAATGATGTGTTTGGTTTCACTTCCCTAGGAAATTGAGGATTATACCATTTTCTACTTATTTCTCCAATTTTTCATACTCCCCCCCCCCCCCCCCCCCCCCCCCCCCCCACCCGTCAAGCCTCCATGTCTGTAAATACATCAAATGTTATCAGTGTTTCAGGTTACACAGAATGGAGATCTCTATCTGTGTCTATAAAATAGCAAGTGACTTCACATCTATAAAGGATTGTTAGAGTATATGTTTACTCTTATCCCCTCAAGTTTTTTTTTTTCTTGTTAAATGGCTTTAGAAATTTTACTCCCATCGGTGTTTGGACAGAAAACTTTGTGCGTAGACCATAGGCTGTAACCTGAAATTGGGCTAACTGCCTTAAATGTGACAGCAAGAATTGAACTACTAGATGTATCTCCTACCTCTCCTAATAATTTATTTATTCTTGTACTATAAAAACTAAGTTTTGATGGTTCTCTTTTTTTTAAACTAGGTAATTTCATCTACGCCAAAACCTCCAGAAGACAAGCTGGAAGATGTACATACAAGTCGTCCGTTAAAACAAAGAAGAAGAATATAGATTGCCAGCAGCAAATTATATTTTCTAAGGGACTATTTATCTTTTATTTTTTAGCCTATCATTTTAATTCTTTAAGAGATTTTACTGCTGGTATTTTTTAGTGCACTCCTCTTTGTGATACCATTCAAGCTATTGTATCTAATGAAGGTTCATCTTTTAAAATTAGCTTATCATTCACAGAATACATGTCAGCCAAATATGTTCCTTAAAAAAAAAAAAAAAAAAATTAAAGTTTTCCGGAAGCTCCATCCAGTGACTTTGGTTACATTTTATTGGCTAAAACTGGGCTCATGGCTGTTCATAACCGGGAAGGTCTGGAATGGTGAATGTTTTAGGTTTCCAACTTCTCTGGTTGAGGAAGCAGGAGAAAAGAGGGTTGTGAAAGTATTTCCCACAGGGGCCAAGGTCGTTGGCTAACTTAAAAAATAAAATTAGTTTATCATTACTTAATATTACAGAAAGTGTTTTTCTATTATTACTTCTCACTTTGCAATAGTTATATGTAAATTAAGTGAACAAAAGATAAAAATTTTACAATGCAAATAAAGACAGGCAACCAGGATCTGTTTCTGATTTTAATACAAGTATTAAGTGTTTCACATTCAAAAACTAGAATTCAGGATGTGTCTGAATGCCAGGGCTTCAAAATCAATACAATTCTGTAAAGTAAAAAAGTTAAACTATTAGAACAAAGCTGAAATTAGGAGCCTATATTCTTTAGTTAGTCTCTAAGAAGAATTTGCTTATCTATGGCAGAAACAAATCTGTATTTGTCAATGCTAGACTGCTAACCAGTACATTTAGCATACCTACATTGTTTGTCCTATCAGACTACAAAATTGGAAACTGGAACAAGTATGTTCAAGCTGTGTCCTTTTTTTTTTTTTAAACTGCTAAAAATACCTTGAGAAGGCCCATACCAAACTGTTTTTCTTTTCTCTATATACCTAAAGGCCTCTTACCTAATGGATTGAATTTGAACATACCGGTTAAGAAGGTTCATCATCAGTTATGACCTGATTCAAACTTGCTGGGATGGCACCAAATGGTAGATGGTATTAAAAGAAGCTGGAGGCAAGGGGTTTGGCCTTACTTCCTTGTAAGGTAATTAATTATTTTTTTCTGCTGAACTCCCAGGTAAAAGACATGTTACAGACCCAAGCATAGAATTGGAAAGAGCAAGTTACTATCTACAACATGCTTCTGACTTTAAGGTGCTATGAATTTCTACCTCAGGGTCGTATTAAAATGTAGATTCTGATAGTGGTGGCCAGAAGCTGGTGGATGATGGGAATGCAGAACGGTTTACAGTTTTCCAAGATGGAAAGCAGTCTGGAGATTGGTTGTACAACATTGTGAATGTACTTAACATCACTGAACTGTATGTTTACAATTGGTTAAGATGGGTAAATTTTGTGTTAGATGTATTTTACCACAACTGAAAAAAAAATTATCTGACAGCCTTAAAAGGAGGAGCTGCTCAGTGGGTTCAGTTTTGTTGAATGGATTCCCGATCTTCTCAGGAGTTTGCAGGATCTTTCCAGTGACCATGTGGAAGCCAGCATGCCTTCCCATCCCCACCAACATGCACAATATTTGATCAAGATGAGTGGAAGTAACCTTTGCTGTGTCAAGCATCATAAAAACAACAACAACAACAACAACGATTGAGTCAGTTGGTTTGGGTTGGGGCCTGAGATTCCCCATTTTCCCCAGGTTCTTAGGTGACAACATTGCTGCTGGTGAGTAGCAAGGTTCTCAGTAACTGGGCTACTGAGTTCTGGGAGCAACTGGAGATCTGTTGGTGTTCCATCTGACCTAAGTAGTTGCTCCAATCCAGTCCATTCTATGTGGCTTCCTCCATCAGTCTCAAAATGAGAAGTGTGCCTTTCACACACTGCATTTTACTATTTATTTCCAGGAATAAACTACAGTGGGACAAGTTAGAGAAATGAGCAGAAGATAGCACAGGAGAACTTAACATGCAAGTTTGTGCATAAAATCGCCATCTAGATCACTGCAGAGAATTAAAAAGTTTCTACTTTCTTCTTCAAAGGAAGAATTAAAGGAAATTTTAATGTGTCAAATTATTAGGCTGGCTCTTCTGGCTCAGAAAACTTGTCAAATTCATACATGAAAAACCTTCCTAAGCATAAATACTATAAAGTACTTTAAATGTATTCAAAATTTTTAATAATTATTCTCATGGTTTGGCAACATTTGGGTTGAAAGAAATCAAATTTTGTCCTGGCAGTTATGGTGGGTACTTGCTGAGTACACTGTTCAATGTTCTATCCCTTAACCATGCCAATAGACTCAAGTTTTCTTTGGGAAAATATTAACATACAAGAAATCAGGAATTGTGTATAGCTAAAGAGGCTGCAAGCTCAAAAAGTCTGTTGAATAGAATCCTCACTATTGTTGATTCCCAAAACGTGAGGATGGAGCTGAGATTGTCATGGTTGCCTAAACTTCAGCTGTGGGCTAAAGCCCCTACAGAGGTGAGTGTCCAGCAGGTATTACTGTCTGATCCCTTAAAAACTTTGCTCTTAAGCGCTTTGAGCTATTGGCACTGTACCTTTGCTTCTGGTAAACACGGTCCAAATGCCTCCAACAAAAGTCTCTCTTCTCTAACTGCTTTTTCAAAGTCTGCAAAAGATATCTTGCCATCGTTGTCATAATCCTAGAGAGGAAGATGAGTTCTTGATAAATGATAAGAGTAGTTTTTAATTTCGCATGGAAAATAACTCTTTGCCAAGTAAAACTATTAGTTTACATTTCTGTGGGCACTACTTACATAAATCAAAAGGTACTTATTTACCAAGGCTACTTACTTTATTCCTGGAAGTCTGTTTAGAATACCTGTTATTAGAGGTTGAAAGTTTGTGTCCCTCTTGCCTCTAAATCCAATGTTAATGCCCCCAATGTGATGATTTGGGAGGTGTCTTTGGGAGGTAATTAGGTTTAGATGAGGTATTGAAGGTGGAGCCCCCATGATATAATTAGCATCTCTGTAAGTAGAGACCAGAGCTCCCTCTCTCTGCCATGTGAGGACACATTGAGGTGGTGGCTGTCTGCAAGCAAGGAAGAGCACCCTCACTATGGAAGCAAATTGACTGGCACCTTGATCTTGGACTTCCCAGTCTCAGGATTTTTTTTAAGATTTTATTTATTTTTATTTCATTTTTAATATTTTTAAATTATTTTTGAGAGAAAGGCAGAGTGTGAATGGGTGAGGGGCGGAAAGAGAGGGAGACACAGGATCCGAAGCAGGCTCCAGGCTCTGAGCCATCAGCACAGAGTCCAGTGCGGGGCTTGAACTCACAAATCACGAGATCATGGCCTGAGCCGAAGTTGGACATTCAACTGACTGAGCCACTCAGGCAGACTTTATTTTTAAGTAATCTCTACACCCAACAGGGGCTCGAACTTACAACCCTGAGATAAAGAGTCACACATTCCACCAACTGAGCCAGCCAGGCACTCCCCAGTCTCAGGATTTTGAGAAACAAATTCCTATTGTCTAAGTCACCCAGTCTGGTATTTTGTTACGGCAGTCCAAGCAGACTAAGACACCTGAGTTACCTTAAATATATAAAATACGGTCGTGTCTCTAAAGGATTTATACTGTAACTGGGGAGTAAAACAAAAAGAGGACACATTATAGTGCTACATTTGTGATAAAATCAGTGCCATAGGGCAAAGATTTTCAAACTTAATTTTTAGTAATAGAATTTGTTCCTCAAAGGATCTCTGACTTGAGAGCTCATCATGTAAAAAGGATAAAAGTGAAGTTACTCACTTAAGGAGCAAGGCACTGGGAGTCAGAGCAGTAATAGTTCAAGATGGACTAGAATCATAAGAAGATGCTTGCAGACTACTGGGAGGCCTTTAAGGATGATTGAGAGGACTTTTAGGTAGCTGAAGAGGTCTGGGGTGGAAATGCAGAAGAATGGCCCAAACTGAAGTCTGACAACATGAGCGATGTAAGTCAGGAAGAAGACAGACCTGCCTGGAGTGGAGCATTAATGACAGGGACTGTGGGGGATTAAATCACGGGAGGGGCAGGGGACCATATATGTAGATTATAAATGCTTTAACTGCTTAATTCAGTTTGGGTTTGATTTGATGGGTCCTTGTTTTTTTACTTCTGAGCATAACTCAGCGTTGCTGAGAGTCTAACTTAGAGAAAGGTTTGAATAATTACCAGAAAAAAATTCACTCCAGGGGCACCTGGGTGGCTCAGTTACGCGTCCGACTTTGGCTCAGGTTATGATCTCATGGTTCATGAGTTTGAGCCCCATGTCAGGCTCTGTGCTTACAGCTCAGAGCCTGGAGCCTACTTCAGATTCTGTATCTTCCTCTCTCTCTGCCCCTTCCCCGCTCATGCTTTGTCTCTCTCTCTCTCAAAAATAAATAAAAATTAAAAAAGGAAAAATTTCACTCCATAACATGTCCTTTAAAAAAAGAAGAGGGATGCCTGGGTGGCTCAGTAGATTAAGTGTCCAACTTCTGCTGAGGTCATGATCTCGCAGTTTGTGGGTTTGAGCCCTGCGTCAGGCTCTGTGCTATAGCTCAGAGCCTGGAGCATGCTTTGAATCCTGTGTTTCCCTCTCTCTCTGCCCCTACCCCGCTCATGCGCGCACGCTCCTCTCTCTCTCTCAAAAATAAGTAAACATTTAAAAAAATTAAAGGGGTGTCTTGGTGTTTCAGTCAGTTAAGTGTCCGACATTGGCTCAGGTCATGATCTCATGGTTCTTGGGTTCGAGCCCCCGCATCAGGCTCTGTGCTGACAGCTCAGAGCCTGGAGTCTGCTTCAGATTCTGTGTCTCCTTCTCTCTTTCTGCCCCTCCCCTGTGTTCATGTTCTGTCTCTCAAAAATAAATAAATGTTAAAAAAAATTTTGTTTTTAATTAAACAAGAAAAGAGTGAATTTGGAATTGGGGAAAATACTGTCTCTCAAGAAGTCTACCCTCAGCCCTAGCAGTGGCTAGTGAGAGTAATTCCTAATCCCAAGAAGGCTCTGCACCACAAGGGTAGATGTGGAGCTTGAACCCACAAAACCCATGAGATCATGATCTGAGCTGAAACCAAGAGTCAGATGCTTAACTGACTGAGCCATCCAGGCGTCCCAGTGAGAGTATTTCTGAAGGAAGAAGGTATGCTGGAGTCTGATAGCTGAATCTAATACTTGGCAGCCCCCATCATGTATTTCTTTCCTCATCTCCAGAGTAATGGAAGTGAGCTGGGTCCAGAATGCTTTAGAGTTAACAACTTTTCACTGGTATCCAGGATAGGGGCATAGTAAGAAAAGGGAAGAAATCACTATGTCCATAATAAAGTGGTACTTTTTGTTTCATTGAAAGAAGAATTCTGCACCCCATTTTCTATCATGATTTTGGGTAAAACTATTAGTATTTCTGTTTTCTCATCTGTAAAATAGAGATAGTAATTTCTACTGCATAGGGTTGTTTTGAGGGTAAAATGAGTTCCTATAATTAAAGTTCTATGAAGGCCCTTGGCATATAGTTAAGTACTTTATAAGGGACAGCTATTTTAATTATTATGTTATTTTGTTATAACGAATGTTTAGATGGATTGGAGGTCATGCAGACAGACTAGAGTGGCATCCAATTTTACACAAACTGAATCTGCTGCACCACTCCCTCCCAACCCCCACATTGAGTAAAATATTTTAAAATAATATAGTTCATATTTTGTGTAGTGATTCATTTAATCACCCAGCCATTCCATAAGTATTTATTGAGCACCCACTATCATCCAAGCACTGTTGTAGGCAATGGATAGAGCAGAGAACAAAATCTCCTGTCCTCATAAAGGTTACTTTCATTATAAAGGGAAATAAATAATTTCTTTGTCTTTAGCTTTCCCCAATATCTGCTTATAGGTTTTCATTCTTACCATTTTTTTCAGTGTTATATCTACCAACTCTTTTATTCCTTCATCATTCTCTTCTTCAGATGACTGTTGGTGTAGACTGTTCTTTAACATGTCAAATATCTCTTCTCGAGAAATGTAACCATCACCATTCAAATAGTAAACTTCAAAACAGACTGTCCAAAGCACAAGAAATGTAAAGACTTGGATAAGAACAGTTAAAATATCACTAGTCTTCTCCTTAAGTTATTTTAATATATAGTTTTTAAAAAGATAAAAACAATTTATACAACCTACAATTATTGGTCTGTATGACAGATGAATTTTATTTTTTTTAATTTTTTTTTCAACGTTTATTTATTTTTGGGACAGAGAGAGACAGAGCATGAATGGGGGAGGGGCAGAGAGAGAGGGAGACACAGAATCGGAAACAGGCTCCAGGCTCCGAGCCATCAGCCCAGAGCCTGACGCGGGGCTCGAACTCCCGGACCGCGAGATCGTGACCTGGCTGAAGTCGGATGCTTAACCGACTGCGCCACCCAGGCGCCCCAGACAGATGAATTTTAAAATAAAGCACCTTTTATACTTACTGGCACAAGATTAAATACTCCTTGGAATGTGGAATTTGAAATTGAGAGTTTAAAAATGTTATGAAACCTGAAACCATGAGACTGTTAGAAGAAATCATAGGAACAAGTTCCTTGACATGGGTCTTGGTGATGATTTCATGGCTCTGACACCAAAAGCACAAGCAACAAAATAAAAACACAAGTGGGACCACATCAAACTAAAAAGCTTCTGCATAGTAAAAGAAACCATCATCAAAATGAAAAGACAACCTGTGACATGGGAAAATAATATTTGCAAACAATATCAGATAAGGTGTTAATATCCAAAATATATAAGGAACTCCTACAACTCAATAGCAAAAAAGAAAAAAAAAATTAAAAATAGGCAAAGGACCTGAATAGACATTTCTCCAAAGAAGATAAATGAAAAGCCAACAGCTATAGGAAAAGATGCTCAACATAACTAGTCATTAGGGAAATGCAAATTAAAACCACAATGAGATATCACCGCATGCCTGCAAGAATGGCTATCATTAAAACAAACAAATAAACAAAAAATGCCAAAAATAAGATAACAAATGCTGGTGTGGATGTGCAGAAAAGGGAATGCTTATTTACCATTGTTACGATTATAAATTGGTAGAGCCACTATGGAACATAGTATGGAGGATCCTCAAAATATTAAAAATAGAACTTCCACATAACCCAGCAATTCTTTTTTTTTTTTTTTTTTTTTTTTTTTAATTTTTTTTTTCAACGTTTATTTATTTTTGGGACAGAGAGAGACAGAGCATGAACGGGGGAGGGGCAGAGAGAGAGGGAGACACAGAATCGGAAACAGGCTCCAGGCTCTGAGCCATCAGCCCAGAGCCTGACGTGGGGCTCGAACTCACGGACCGCGAGATCGTGACCTGGCTGAAGTCGGACGCTTAACCGACTGCGCCACCCAGGCGCCCCTACCCAGCAATTCTATGTGTGGGAATATATCCAAAGGTAATGAAAACACTAACTCAAAAAGATATCTGCACCTCCATGTTCATAGCAGCATTATGTACAATAGCCAAGGTTTGGAAACAATCTAAGTTTCTATCAATGGATGAATAAATATAAATAACAATATTACTCAGCCATAAAAAATGAGAAAATGCTATCATTTGCAATAACGTAGGTGAAACTTGAAGGCATTATGCTAAGGAAAATAATTGAGACAGGGAGTGACAAATACTCTATGACCTCCCTTATATGTGGAATCCCCAAAACAAAAACAAAACAAAACAAACAAGAAACCTGACAATAACAACAGACTCATAGAAAAAGAGATCAGACTTGTGGTGATCAAAGATGGGCAGTTGGAGGGAGGAGGAACTAGAGGAAGATGGCTAAAAGGCACAAACTTCCAGTTATGAGATAAATATGTACTAGGAAAGTAACATACAACATGAAGACCATAACTAACACTGATGTATGATATATAGAAAAGTTGTTAAGAGAGTGAATTCTAAGAGTTCTCATCACAAGGAGAAATATTTTTTTCCTTTATACTTTTCTTCTTATTGTATCTATATAAGAAGATGGATGTTAGCTGAACCTATTGTGGTAATCATTTTTGTAGTATATGTAGAACTGATCTGTATGCCTTAAATTTATAAAGTGATATATGTCAATTATTTCTCAATAAAACTAGAAAAATAAAAGAATTTGGGGGAAAAAAAGTAGTTGATAAAGATGCAGATTCCTGTTCACCTGTACCTAGATGGGAGAGGAAACAGTTACAGATTAGATATCAAGCGATCTTTGTAAGGAACAGATTTGATACTAAATCTTCATAATTAAAAAAAACAAATAAATGGGGATGCCTGGGTGACTCAGTCAGTTAAGCTTCCGAGTTTGGCTTAGGTCATGATCTCAATGTTCATGACTTGCACACTCTCTCAAAAATAAATAAACATTTTTAAAAAAACACACAAATAAACAGAACTTTTCCTGATATAGCACAAAATAAGAGTATGGATTCCTTGGTGGTAGTAGCTCAGAGAATGCTATTTTAAAACGTTCCCAAGGTAAAACCGATGTAGCCAGTTGAAACCAGTCTTCAATCCACATTGGAGAATCAGTCTTATAGGTACTTTACATTGTAGCCTTAATTTAAAAAGCAGCTCCTTAAAGGGGTGCCTGGGTGGCTCAGTTGACTGAGTGTCTGAGTCTTGGTTTATGCTCAGGATGATTCATGGTTTGTGGGTTTGAGCCCCGTGTTGCGTTCTGCACTGTCAACATGGAGCCTGCTGGGGATTCTCTCTCCCTCTCTCTGCCCCTCCATACTTCCATGCTGTCTCTCTCAAAATAAATAAACACTAAACAAAAAAAAAAAAAAAAAAAAAAGTGGCTCATTAGAAATTTACATACCTAAGATTTTTCTTTCTGTCTTGGCATTTATGAACTATGTTTTATTTTTTTTTCAACGTTTATTTATTTTTGGGACAGAGAGAGACAGAGCATGAACGGGGAGGGGCAGAGAGAGAGGGAGACACAGAATCGGAAACAGGCTCCAGGCTCTGAGCCATCAGCCCAGAGCCCGACGCGGGGCTCAAACTCACGGACCGCGAGATCGTGACCTGGCTGAAGTCGGACGCTTAACCGACTGCGCCACCCAGGCGCCCCTATGAACTATGTTTTAATATACTACATTATCTACGTTGGGGACTTCTTGTTTCTGTAATACTTTTTGTTGTTGTTCATGTATTTATTTTGAGAGAGAGTTAGAACACAATTGGGGGAAGAGAGAGACTCCCAAGTGCGCTAACAGCAGAGCCCTATGTGGGGCTCAATCTCACCAACTGTGAGATCATAACCTGAGCTGAAATCAAGAGCCAGTCTCTTAACCGACTAAGCCACTCAAGGACTGCCCCCTGCCTTTTTTTTTTTTTTTTTAAGTTGGAATACTTTAGGGGCACTTGGGTGGCTAAGTGGGTTAAGAGTCTGACTCTGGATTTCAGCTCAGGTTGTGATCTCCCAGTTTGTGGGATCGAGCCCCACGTCATACTCTGTTCTGACAGCAGGGAGCCTTCCTGGGATTCTCTCTCTTCTTCTCTCTCTGCCCCTCCCCTGCTCATGCTCTCTCTCTCTCAAAATAAATAAACTTAAAAAAATAATAAAGTTGGAATACTTTGAAATCAATGACGTTAATTTAGGTACTTGAAACTATAAACAAACAATACCTTCTGTGTTCAGAGATAACCATCAATTCCAATTTGTAGATATTAATAGTCCTTTTCCTCTTCTCTGTCCCCACTGTTATTTCCTAGGTAACTTCAACAATCTAGGAAACTCTCCTGCCTCCATCCAATATTTCATTATTTATTATAGTTGATTCACAGCTGTCCTCTTAGGGAATGTTGGGGAGAGGAATGTTGCTCAGTAGACGATTCAACCTTAATAATACACATTCAGTTGACCTTAATACTACATGTCTCAACATCAGTTCTACCAACTCCACATGTTCATTCCTGTTGGTTAGCCTGCTCTTCCTTCTAGTTTCTTTCTGCTCAAGATTTACAAGAATTAACTGAAATGCTAGTTATTCTGTGGAAGTGTCTTCTGATCCACCAGATCCACTAGAAAGCACTTTCTCATCACTCCCATATAGAATTTTGAAAATACATAGATTTTGGGGCGCCTGGGTGGCGCAGTCGGTTAAGTGTCCGACTTCAGCCAGGTCACGATCTCGCGGTCCGTGAGTTCGAGCCCCGCGTCGGGCTCTGGGCTGATGGCTCAGAGCCTGGAGCCTGTTTCCGATTCTGTGTCTCCCTCTCTCTCTGCCCCTTGCCCGTTCATGCTCTGTCTCTCTCTGTCCCAAAAATAAATAAACGTTGAAAAAAAAATTAAAAAAAAAAAAATAAAAAAAAAAAAAAGAAAATACATAGATTTTGAAGTAATCATGTTATATTATGGTTATTGGTTTATATGTATTATGTGACCCAGAACTGAGCATCTCCTGTAGAATGACACAAATAAAAGACAATAACTGTATAGACTTCAAAAAAAATGTGATGAAACTGCAATAAAAGAGATCTCTTTTTACTTTTAAATTTGCTTTTTTTTTTTTAAAGTTTATTTATTTATTTTGAGAGAGAGCTAGGGAGGGGCAGAGAGAGGGGGAGAGAGACAATCCCAAGCAGGTTCCACACTGTCAGTGAGGAGCCCGATGCGGGGCTCAAACCTGTGAACTGTGAGGTAATGACCTGAGCTGAAACCAAGAGTCAGACACTTAACCAAATGAGCCAGCCAGGTGCCCCAATAATTTCTTTTTAAGTAAACTCTATACCCAACATGGGGCTAGAACTCACAACCCAGAGATCAAGAATCGCGTGCTCTACTGACTGAGCCAGCCAGGTACCCCTAGAAGTAAATATTTTTTTTAAACCTTTGGTCATGCAATACATATATACACATGTGTACACATACGTGTGTGTATATCTCATTATTATTTTCTTACATAGAGTACAAAAACTAAGTACAAACTTCAGCATATCACTGGCAAAGAACATTTTTCAGTATATCTGTGTAGTGAGTCCATCATCTCCTTGGAAGTCTGCCCATCTGCACTACCCAAAATGACCACTCTCTCCCTGAAGAGGAACTTCTGTGACTTCTATACATTCATTCATGCCACAGATGACCTTACTCAGGTCCTGAGAATACAGTAATGAAGGAACTCTTCTGGAGTTCGCAATCTAGTTAAATGTTTTAGCAAAAGCAATAGAATCAATATAAAATTCCAGAGTATCAGATTAGCTGTGTGTTTTTGTTGAGTTTCTTCAATCCATAGCATACATGTGATGTGGGGAACAAAGGCAAAAAAAAAAAAAATTAAATTTCCTGACAACTCGTAGTGCATGGACAAGTCCTTGAGATACGCAGAGTGACTTTCCTTTAGGAACTCAACTGTCTCTATGTCGATACTTTGCTATGGGCAAAAGGCAGTCTTAACATCAACCCAACCTCCAGTAGTCTCCTTTAATAAATAAAAATTTCTTTGGTAACCATTTCCTTTTTCTCTACCCCCACCCCCCGCCAAGTTGTATGTTAGTAAACAGTGGGCATATGACCCACTGGTATACATCTGAAGGGTCGGATGACTAAGGTTTTATTAGACAGTAGTAAATGACTTTTTCCTAACAGCCCCTCAAGAGTCTGGAAACCTTATGCTATCCCTACCCCCCTCCAAACTTGAAAGTATATAATCAGCCATTGTCACAACCCCAGTGCAGCTCTTTCTCCCCACAGGTCCTGTCCCCTGCTTTAATAAAACCACCTTCTTGCACCAGAGGTGTCTCAAGAATTCTTGCTTGACTGTTCACTCAGAACCCCACCATTTCCTCATCACATGCAGCTCAACCCTATGAAAAGTGGCATTTTTCCCAGATTAACATATCTTGAAATATATATGAAACAGTTTTAGGAAGTAGGATTAGAGGAGGAAAATTCATTGACAGCATGATGCTATTCAATCACATACAGCTGTACTCAGTGTCACAGCCATTTTCACCATGTATTAGTATTACCGTAAGAATTTACATCCATGAAAACTTAGCTTTTCACTTCTTGGTGAGACTTCTGTATAAGAGTGCTGCAACAACCTTAAGTAGCAACTATATTTCAATGTTATCCTGTGAAAAATTAAACTGGAGAAAAGTTAAGGAAAAAAAAACCCACATAATGTTGAATGTCAATTTTACCTCAAAAAAAAAAAGAAAGAAAGAAAGAAAGAAAGAAAGAAAGAAAGAAAATTAAAAGAAAAAACACAAAACAAAAAATTGTAAATGTCAAAGAAAGTTGGTGATTTTTTTTTTTAATTTTTTTTTTTCAACATTTTTTATTTATTTTTGGGACAGAGAGAGACAGAGCATGAACGGGGGAGGGGCAGAGAGAGAGGGAGACACAGAATCCGAAACAGGCTCCAGGCTCCAAGCCATCAGCCCAGAGCCTGACGCGGGGCTCGAACTCACGGACCGCGAGATCGTGACCTGGCTGAAGTCGGACGCTTAACCGACTGCGCCACCCAGGCGCCCCATGGTGATTTTTTTTAATGTTGCTATCATTTTTTAAAATGTGTGTTTAAGAGGCACCTGGGTGGCTCAGTCGGTTAAGCCTCTGACTTTGGCACAGGTCATAATGTCAATGATTCGTGGTTTCAAGCCCCATATAGGGATCTGTGCTGACAGCTCAGAGCCTGGAGCCTGCTTCAGATTCTGTGTCTCCCTCTCTCTCTCCCCCTCTTCTGCTCGCACTCTGTCTCTCAAAAGTAAATAAATACCTAAAATTTTAAAAAATAAGTAAGTAAAATGTGTGTTTAACGTTAGGGATCTTCTTTTCAACATTCCAAATCCAAATTTAAGTGGAAGAACAAGGGATAAAGATTTGTTTATTTACTCAGAATTCTGCAGTCTTTTCCTAAGCAATTTGACACTTTAAGCAATTGTTCCCTAGAAAACTGTCATTTAAAATTGTTCCTATTCTTGGGGCGCCTGGGTGGCTCACGTGGTTGAGCATCCAACTCTTGGTTTCGGCTCAGGTCATGATCTGATGGTTTGTGTGTTCAGGCCCCATGTTGGGCTCTGTGCTGACAGTGCGGAGACTGCTTGGGATTCTCTCTCTCCCTTTCTCTCTGCTCCTCCTGCACTCTCTCTTTCTCTCTCTCTAAATAAATAAATAAACTTAAAAAAATTGTTCCTATTCTCATTCCTGGGTTCCTCACCCCAAAACCTGGACCCAGAGGTATAAAACATAGAAAATACACATCACAACAATGGTACAGGCGAGGTGAGGCCAGAGCTATTCACTTCTAGGCAAAATTGTGAATGGGAAGATTTTTGTCTTTGGAATTACTAACATATCTTTCCTGTAGGAAATTCTCTCTGTAACCATTCTCCCTGTGGGCATTCTCTGTCCTCAATCTCTTTTCCTCTCTTCACTGATCTACACAAATTTTAACACTAGAATATTGGTGGTTAATGTGTATTTCATTTTGTTTTGTGTCAATCCCTCACATTTATTTTCTTTGTTCAAGAGATGAGGAATGTCTTCACTGTGACTTATGCACTGCCTGATATCAAGGCGCATTTCCTGCTGAGCCCAGAGCCAGCCTGGGAAACCCGGAGTTGGCACAAGCCCTGACATTGACTTGCTTGTCTTCGCCTGGGACTTGACACAAAGACCCATCCTGGTGACATTTAGGCATTACAGAACCAGTGAAGGAAGTGTAGGTCTAAAGGAGGGACTCTCCCAAGAAACAGACCACCCATTTCATTTGTTTTGATTTTTTTTAAAGCTGTCACAAACTATTTTTGAAAGGTTGCTATAGAGAACATTGATTTTATATTTTTTAAAATTTGTTTAAGCATTCACTAAATACAAAATTGACACTGTATATTACTAAGTCAGTAATCACATATAGAAATCTTACACTTCAGCTTTTCTTCAAAAGTCCCTCGAAGAAACACTGATAATCCTTTAACCCACTCTTTCACATTTATGCAGTTATCGTGGTCTTTGTCAAACACAAAAAATACTGAAAGAAAAAGACCATAGAAGTATATTGTAATTTAAAGCTATTTTATAATTCAAATATATAAACCTTCTTCCCAAATTGAGAGGAAAAAAAGGTTTTAGCCATCTTTAAGAGTCAAAATTATTGGAAATGTATGTGTGTGTGTGTGTGTGTATATAATTTGTCATTACAAAAATGTTTGCCACATATTAATTATGAACATCATATATATCGCCATCTCAGCTTGGCCCATTTCCATTTCTTAAGCCTCTTACCCCTGTTCATTAGCATATCGTCAGTCATTCCAAATACGCTGTGCAGGATCGCTCGAAAAGCATTACGATCTAGTCCAAGGTTATTAAGTCTTACATTAGCTCTTTCCACCAAGCTGTGAAAAAGTCTTATGAGACATTCTACTTCACTTTTTTTGACTGTAAAATAAAAATACAAATAAGTACAACTTACACTTACTCAATGAGTACTCCAATTAAAAATATTTTACTAAGCAGCTATTTTTTTCCTATGATGCTAGATGCTCTAAGTGATTAAAAAAAGAATGACATCACTTGTTACTTAAGGGCTTATGCAATTAAGGTGGGTGTCACCAGAAGACTAGTAAGACGGTATGTAAATGAAAAATTATGTAACATAATGCTCACTACTACAGACATGTGAAGAAAGAGAAATCAGTGTGGGAAAGAGGAGTTAGGTCATTTTCATGGGAGTAGACTTTGAACAGAGACTTGGAAGGATACATTGTATTTATACAGGAAGGAATGTGTTGGGGGTGGTAAAATGGAGAATTCCAGGGAGAGATAATATGGGTAAAGGAAAGAGGTAGAATTGTGGTTGAAGTTGAACATGCTTTATTGGGAGCACAGCAAGTTAGGAAGAAGTGAAAAAACAGGATTGAAGAGGACGGGCTGATGGCAGAGAGCCTTGAATGCCTAGTCAGAAAATTAACATTTACAGTTGACTTTTGAACCACATAGGTTTGAACTGTGGGTCTACTTAAATGCAATAAAAAATAAATATAGCGCAGTACTGTAAATGTATTTTTCTTATGATTTTCTTAAAAGTTTTAGCTTACTTTAAGAATACAGTATATAATATATAAAACATACAAAATAGGTTGATTGTTTATGTTATCAGTAAGGTCAGCAGTAGGCTATTGGTAGGTAAGCTTTTGGGGAGTCAAAAGTTATATATGGATTTTCAACTGTATTGCAGGGGTTGGTGCTTATATCCTACACTTTGTTCAAGGGTCAACTACATTTTACTGGAGCAGTGTTTCTAATGGACCGTCCAGGACCATTTGAATGAGAGAAATCCACAGCCTCTCCTTTGTTTGTTCAAAAGCAGACTCCCAAGCCTTACTTGACTTACCAAGTCAGAATCACTAACATCAGACCCAGGAATTAGCTTTTAAAAAACAAGACCTCAGTTGACTCTTCTAGGCCCTGAGGGTTGAAAAAGTGGGAGGGAGCTTGAGATGTTGCAGAAAATCAGTGGGACTTGGTGACTAATTTTCAAACAGAAATGTTCAATATTCACACACTTGGATTTCAGTCCAGACTTAGGAAAGGGTATTTTTAAAGAAGTGCAGGGTGATTTTAATGCATTGATCAGGACTGAGAATTAAGGGATTCAATTTAGCAGGCTACACAGTGTAACTATAAGCTCAGAAATATGACAAAAAGCTCATTTTTACCCATCCAATAAGAATTTATATTGAAGGCCTCCTGTGAACCAGGCAGTGAATACACCAGGGTTTCTGCCCACAAAGTTGTTACACTTTGGCTAAGAGATAAGAAAAAAAAAAAAAGTGCAAGCACTATGATTGATGGTGTTTGGCAGTGACCCAAAGGAAGGAACAATCAACTGGGGAGGTAGCAGGAAATTAACAAAGGTCCCAAGGAGGAGGGGTCACTTGCCAGAGGAGGCAGCTTGAAGGTATGTTCTTAAATTTTTTTTTTCAACGTTTATTTATTTTTGGGACAGAGAGAGACAGAGCATGAACGGGGGAGGGGCAGAGAGAGAGGGAGACACAGAATCGGAAACAGGCTCCAGGCTCCGAGCCATCAGCCCAGAGCCTGACGCGGGGCTCGAACTCACGGACCGCGAGATCGTGACCTGGCTCAAGTCGGACGCTTAACCGACTGCGCCACCAGGCGCCCCAATGAAGGTATGTTCTGAGAGCTAGCTGCAGATGGTTGGTATGGCCACATGGCAGACTAGACTTTACAATGGGGAGTTTCTGAAAAATTTTGGCTGGCAAGTTAACATCATATTTGCACTTAAGGAGGGTCACTTTGGCAGTAGATTCTCAAAACCACATTATGAATAATGAGTCCACATGTGACTTGGTTGTGTCTTCCCCAAAACAATTTTAACAGTCTATGCCATCCCATATGCTCTTTCTACAAAGACTTTGATACTCCTCTGAGATGGGATCTGTCTCCTTCACTTGAAACAGGGAAGGCATTTTCTGACATTTCAACCAGTAGAGCTCAGTGGAAATGAGGCAGTGTGAACTTTTCAAGGCTAGGTCACAGAAGGGGTTGCAGCTGCTCTGAGGACAAAAACTTGGAAAGAATTCTCATAAAAAATACAGAGAAAGAGGAAGCTCATGTGTGGATGTGCTGTATGAAGTGTAGAGTATGTTAATGTTTGCCTGAAAGTCATCCTGCTTAAATCTGATGGAGAATTATCGGAGTGCAAACGTTAGCACCAACATTAGTTTCCTCCTTGAGGAAAGGGAGGTTTTAAGAGTCAGATGCTGCTCTGAGCCAAATATTAACAAGTCATCCAACACAGCTATCAAGGATTTTAGGCACAATCTTCGACAGGTAGTAATTTTTTCTGAGTTTTATCCATGTAAGCTCACATTTCATTACAGCTAAAGACCTTACTCATGCGGTCCAGGAACCGTTGTAAATGATATTTGAGAGATCTTGGGTAATGAGAATTGTGAGGTGCTAGGCACTGGCTCATGTTATTTAACTTTATTTTGGGATAACTTTAGATTTACACAAGAGAAGTAATGATGATAGAGTTCCCAATCTTCACTGTTTCTCCATTAAAACTTTACAGAACCGTGGTACAATTATCAAAATGAATACACTAACATCGGCACATTATTAACATACAGATCTTACCACTTTTCCACTAATGCTCTTTTTTTGATTCCAGAATCCAAGCCAGGATACATTTGGCTGGCATGTCTCCTCCAATTTATGATAGTTTTTAGTCTTTCATGACTTTTTTTTTTTTAAAGTTTTGATTTATTTTGAGAGGGGTATGAGCAGGGGAGGAAAAAAGAATCCCAAGCAGACTCCATGCTGAGCATGGACAAGGGCTCAATCCCACAAACCGTGACATTATGACCGGAGCTGAAATCAAGAGTTGGATGCTTAACCTGAGCCACCCAGAGGGCCCAACCTTGACTTTTCATTTTGCATAATATTCCTCAATTTGGGTTTGTCTAATGTTTTTTTTTGTTTGTTTGTTTTTTTGCATAATAAGCTGTGGTTAGGGGTTTGAGGGGTGAATTCTAGAGATAAATTGCTGTTCTTCTCACATGTCGGGAGACACATACAAGGTTAACTGCTGAGAACTTTGATCACTTGATTACGCTAGTCTACAGGGTTCTCCACTGTAGTTGCTATTTATCCTTTCCACAATCTATTCTTTGGAAGCCAATCTTTTAGGGAAAATGTAATTCCACTTCTTGGGAAGGAGTATCTATACTATTACTTGGAATTTTCATGAAAGCAAGAGGTCTTTTTTCCCCTATTTACTCAATTATTTATGTCAGGGTGTGTGCAAGGGGGGGGGGGGTCACATACACTTATTTTATAACAATCCTGTCATCTTACTCAAATTGTTCCAGTTTTGGCCCTTGGGAGCTTTCAAGTTGGCTCTTGTATGTTTCACATCACACAACCCCATTGGCTTTTTCACTTCTTTGCTTTCTGGCACTACTTGCCAGGCCAATCTTATATTTTCCCTGTGTGAGGTAACAGGAAATATATATATTGGTCTCTGTCCCTGGTTCCTGGCACATAGCTCCCAAAACTCTTGGGATTTCCTAAATGATGTGAGCAGCACGAGTATCTTTTGTTCAATTTTGTCATTGACCCTGGCCCCCAACACAAAGCTCCTAAATCCCTTAGAACATCAGGGATGATAGGAATCTTTTGTTCTAAGGAGGCGACTACCGGTGGCTCCTGGCTGGGAGCTAGTCACCAAAAAGACTTGATTAAAAATCCATGATTAAAAGCTTGGAACTTTCAGCTGTATCCCCCATTGTGCAGAGGGGCTGGATATTGAGTTAATGACCTATGGTGCCTATGTGATGAAAACTCCATGAAGACCCCCAAAGTGTTCAGGGAGCTTCTGGGATGGTTAACATATGAAGGTCCTGGGAAAGGGAATGGAAGCTCCATGCCCCTTCCTACATACCTTGCCCTGTGCATCTCTGCTGTCTGCTCCTGATTGTATCCTTGTATTTTAAAAACTGTATCCTTCTATAATAAATCAGTAATCTATTAAGTAAACAATTTTCCTCAGTTCTATGAGCTGCTCTAGCAAATTAATTGGGCCTCCAATTTATAGCCAGTTAGTCTGAAATGCAGGTAACAACCTGGACTTGTGATGGGCATCTGAAGTGGGAGACAGTCTTGTGGCATTGAACTCAACGTACAGGATCTGATGCCATCTCAGGTGGTGTCAGAACTGAGAAATTGTAGGGTACCCAGCCGATGTCACAGAAAATTGCTTGCTTGAAAAAACCACACAGTTGGAGACTGGAAGTGTCAAGAAGTGTAGCAGAGTAGTGTCAGTAAAAGAGAAACAAGGCATAGCATAGGTTTTCCTTTACACTCTGTGTGGCTATTTCTTCAAGGAATCCTGGTTGTTTTTATTGGAGACTGGTATTTAAACACCAAGGATTATGCACTGGGTGTGCTTATTACTACTGGGAGATGAATATTTCTAAGCCCAATACATAACCAGGAGCTGGGATGGGTACAGTGGAATATTTCTAAGCCCTCTCAGCAGACAAAGCTGGAAAATATGTATGTATACCTACCTATATATGCATACATATTGGCCCATGTTATGTGTGACAAATGAAGTGAAAGCCAAATATTGGACCACTGGGTCTATAGGTGGTCCTGGGCTAAGTCCCGGAAGAGATGATCAATTGTATTTTTTACCTCACGAACACTCAGGGCTCATGAGTTCATAAGGGCTAATCATACTAGATTTAACTTATTTCCTCCTTCTAGTAGGAGTGGGTCAGAGAAATGCAGTTCACAAAGTATCTGGATTTTAGGGGAGCCTGGGTGGCTCAGTTGGTTAAGCACGTGACTCTTAATTTCAGCTCAGGTCATGATGTCACGATTTGTGAGATCATGCCTCCTGTTGGGCTCTGTACAGAGCCTGCTTGGGATTCTGTCTGTCCCTCCCCCATTCTCTTTCAAAATAAATAAAATTTTTTTTTTAAATGTTCATTTATTTTTGAGGGAGAGAGACAGAGTGTGAGTGGGGGAGGAGCAGAGAGAGAGGGAGACACGGAATCTGAAGGGGGCTCCAGGCTCTGAGCTGTCAGCACAGAGCCCGATGTGGGGCTCAAACTCACGAACAGTGAGATCATGACCTGAGCTGAAGTCGGATGCTTACCAACTGAGCCACCCAGGCGCCCCAATAAATAAATACATATTAAAAAAACCCCACAAAATATTTGCATTTTAGGAAGGCATATAACAAAAATCTCTTACTCTTATGTCAATTATCTACTCAGTATCCAGTAGTGCCAAGCACAATGGTAGGCTCTCACATAAATGTTTGCTAAGTAAATAACTCCTTGTACACAAATGAGGTAAAGGAATATACTGGAGGAGACAGGATCCAAAGTAAGCTCTAGATGCCAAAATAATCACTTGAATCAAACAACATGAAATTATTAGAAAGTTTTAAAATTGTTCACTGAGCTTTAAAAAAATTTCTTAGTCTATATGTGTAAAAATTATGGCTGAACAATATGTGTGAAAAAGACTGGGTCAATTCCTAACTCACTATTAATCAAGCTGTGATTGCAATTAGGTTGATAGAACTGAAATTTCACCTGGGAGAGACTAGGGATTCATCAGGAAACCCTACACTTCAGTGTGTCCAAGAACAAATGGAGTAAACAATCTGGATGATTGGCTCCACTCGCAGAGATATTTAAATGTGCCTAGGGTGGTATCCAGGAATCTACATTTTCAGTAAGCATCTTTAGGTGATTCTTTTTTTTTTTTTTTCAACGTTTATTTATTTTTGGGACAGAGAGAGACAGAGCATGAACGGGGGAGGGGCAGAGAGAGAGGGAGACACAGAATCGGAAACAGGCTCCAGGCTCTGAGCCATCAGCCCAGAGCCTGACGCGGGGCTCGAACTCACGGACCGCGAGATCGTGACCTGGCTGAAGTCGGACGCTTAACCGACTGCGCCACCCAGGCGCCCCTAGGTGATTCTGATGCTGGAGATACTCCTACCATACTATGAATAAGAGGTATACAGCCAAGATCAACTACAGAACTTGCGGGCCCAATGCAAAGAAAACATGGGTCCCTCATTGAAAACATTAAGTGTTAGTGGAACATTAAATTAAGCGTGGGGCCCCATGACAATGCATAGGTTGCACACACATGAAGCCATTTACTATGCCCTGAGGTAATGATCTGCCACTGCCACTAAAGATTTAAAAAACTCTACTTAATTTTAACTTACATTTAAATAGCCACACACATACTTTTTAAAAAATGGGGCACCTGGCTGGCTCAGTCGGTAGACCATAGGACAACTCTTCATTTCAGGGTCACGAGTTCAAGCCCCACTTTAGGTGTAGAGGTTACTTAAAAAAAATTTTAAGTAAATAAATAGCCACACATTGCTAGTGGTTACTATACTGGTTAATACAGCTCTACAATGTTTTATATTCTAGAGCTGTGTGAAAAAAAATCAACAGCTGCTTGGTAAGGTAATGAATTTTCTTCATGAGGTCACTGGAAATAGTGGAGGATCAGAGTCACACAATCTAGTAGTTTGGACTCAAGAAGCCATGTGGCACATGTAGGCCTAGTAAATTATGAAGCCTCCCTCTTAAGAAACTTTAAAGCAAAGCCCAAGAAAAGCCATCTCAACTTTCTGGCACATGACAACTAAAACTATCTATGTACACCAAGAGAAATAGTAAGACGATCCCTTTTGTCTTTTTAAGTAAACTCTACCCCCAGTGTGGGGCTCGAACTCATGACCCTGAGATCAAGTCACATATTCCACCAACTGAGCCATGCAGCCACCCCAAGACAATCTCTTCCTGAGAAGGGAAGGCCAAGGTGGTACTATTTGTTAGCTCTCCCCAGTCCTACCCATTGAGAAGCAAATTCTAGGTGCACCTGGCTGGCTGGCTGAGTCAGTAGAACATATAACTCTTGATCTCAGGGTTGTGAGTTTGAGCCCCATGTTGGGTGTACAAACTAAAAACAAAATCTCAAAACAACAAAAAAACACCCAAGTTCCAGTCATGAGAGGCCAGTCAAGGACCCAAGAACTGAGCTGAATTCAACAATTTTTATTTTGCATTCACTATGGGAGAGTACTATACAGAATGACCGTGAGAAGTCTAGAATGCTTATTAGGTGCATCGAGAAATGAAGATGAAATGCAGGTTCTGGCATCAGACTTACCTGGGTTCTAGCTCTGCCTCCACCAGAAAAGTTCACTGTCATTTTAGACAATCTGAGACTTGGTTTCCTCATCTGAAAATGTGGAAAATTTCACCTACCTCATTGGGTTTTTTTCCTGAGACTTGAAGATGAAGATAAACCACTAAGCATACCATTTCCCCAATGAAGAGATTAATAAACATGAGTTGTTAATAATCTCAGTATAAAATAGTAATCTGGTTACACTGAACTTTTTGATCCTAATTTAGTGTCAAAATTCTGCAAAAGGAATGCAACTCATTCCTCTTTTGAAAGATACTGTTCAGTATCTTCTTTGTAGGAGACTCTATGGGAAGCGGGCCCGATCTAGTATTACATATTCTTTACTTATATTACCTATACTTTCAGAGAATTGTCTTCAAATAACAAATTATGGTATTAAACACACATTTGGGTAGCAGGCTAAAAGTAGTTTCATTTGGATGGGGAGAGGAGTTAGATTTTTAAAGTATGCAAAATTTCCTTTTGAATGTTTAAAACTCAGGTTAAGAAAACAGCAAATAGGGGCACCTGAGTGGCTCAGTCGGTTAAGTGTCCAACTCCAGGTTTTGGCTCAGGTCATGAGCTCACGGCTTCGTGGGTTCAAGCCCCGCATTGGGTTCTGTGCTGGCAGCGCGGGGCCTGGTTGGGATTCTCTCTCTCTCCTCTCTCCCACTCGGCTGTCTCTCTCTCAAAATAAACTTAAAATTAAAAATAGGGGCACCTGAGTGGCTCAGTCGGTTGAGCGTCCGACTTCAGCTCAGGTCATGATCTGTTTGTGGAGTCGAACCGCGCATCAGGCTATGTGGTGACTGCTTGCTCAGAGCCTGGAGCCTACTTCAGATTCTGTGTCTCCTTCTCTCTCTGCCCCTTCCCCGCTCACGCTTTGTCTGTTTCTCAAAAATAAATAAATGTAAAAAAAAATTAAAAAAAAACCAAACAAAAAAAAACAGAGGCACCTGGGCGGCTCAGTTGGTTAAGTGTCCAACTACAGCTCAGGTCATGATCTCACAGTTCATGGGTTTGAGCCCCATGTCAGGCTCTACGCTAACAGCTGGGAGCCTGGTGCCTGCTTCAGATTCTGTCTCTCCCTTTCTCTCTGCCCTCCCCCCACTCACACTCTCTCTCTCAAAAATAAACATTAAAGGGGCACCTGGGTGGCTTAAGCCCTGTGTCGGGCTCTGTGCTGACAGCTCAGAACCTGGAGCCTGCTTTGGAGTCTATGTCTCCCTCTCGCTCTCAAAAATAATAAAACATAAAAATAAATAAATCTTTAAAAATAAACATTAAAAATGTTTAAAAAATTAAAAAGAAAGCAAACCAATCTCCAAAAAATAAAAGAAAAAGAAAACGGCGAATAACAGTAGATATTACATTCAACTTTGGTTAAATCTGCTAGATGGATTTTAAGGGTTGAAGAACAGCAAGATTGCAAAAACAGGCCCTAGAAGTGCTTGAGGATCATTTAAAATATAACTGAAATGAGAGAAAACTGAATTAAGTCTACCAACAAGATTCTTAGGGTGGTACTACTGAGACCTACTGAGACCACACAAGGAAAAATGGAAGTGCCCAACGAAGCTGTACTAGTGTCTGAAATAAAAGTCATTTCCTCAAAGTCCAAAGACATTGTCAAAATGGATCTCAGTCAGGATTGCTTGTTGTCATGCCCGTGAGACAAGATACATAAGATTACTTTTTAAGGTCTGTCAGGGCAAGGATTCCCCCCTCCCCCAATCTGTTACATTAATTTTAATAAACACTTGCTATGTGCAAAGTACCATGCTTATTTCTTCAGCAACTAAAATATCTTCTATAGCTCTATCAATCCTCTGCCTCTATGGGTTTTGTGCCAGAGAACTCAGGGAATTGGTCAAGGTAAACCTTTAGAGTTTGAGATCTCTTATTAAATTTCAGACTGTTAACAGAACGAGTCCTTGGTTGGCAGATAATCCTTTAGTACATATGTCACATAAGTTCTCAAATTCTTCTTTTCACATACACAAATATATTTTAGGAACCTGATTAAAATATTCTCAGTGTAGTGCAGGGATCTTGTAAATTCACTTGTAATCTATTTTTTTAAATGGCCAAAACATTAGACAGAAATTAGAGGAACTCTATTTTGGGTGTTACAAAGAACCTGTTAATGTCCAATGTATCTATCAATGTTTCTATCTGATTGAATAAAGATGTTCAGGCAGTGCTGGATGTCTGGTTAGTACTCACAGTTCTTGACAGTATTACTAATGGATTCCACCAGTTTCTTCAGAGTCTTCTGGTCCATGTCAAGTGTTGCTTCAACACACTGTAGAGTTCTCAGATAGCCTAGTTCCAAGCCTACATGTCTTGGATTGTCACTGATTCCATAGTTCATTACTCTATACCAACAGAATGTGATGGCGGCAACATTCCAGCAACCACAGAAGGTTGGCGGCAACATTCCAGCAACCACAGAAGGTTCTCAAGTGATTGCAAAAATATGCAACAACGGTTGTTAGCACTCAAATGCAATGATTCCATGAATGTTATTGTGATCTGAAATATTACAGCAATTCCTACATTTATCTTTTCTTTAGGGCTAAACACCACTTAAAGTGGTACTTGGTATTATTGTCATTTATATTTCCTCAGCACAAACTGTATGGTTGAAAATGTTTCCTTCCTAACTGAACACACAACTAAATAAAATTATAAGGATCTTATTTTTAAGTGGACATATTTTTCTAGGCTATAAATAGCTCCTTCAAAGATTACATAACCTCCTTTAAAAAACTTTAAGCATCTTCTCGTAAGAGAGACTTCAATCTGGGAGCTCCTAGAAAAATGTAAAACCCCACTAGTACCCCTCCAACTTATACCTGACTGAATGGTAAGAAAGCATGGTGTGACTATGCCAAAGCTGGCCAAAATAACAACTGTTCTAACTCTACTGTCAAATCCTAATACAGGGAACAAACATTTCCTAGTCTGTTTACTGGCTTTCACTATAGTAAGGCAAGAAAATGGACCAGAATGAATTTTAGAATTTCGAATACAATATTCTTACAAATTTTAAATAAAATATAAAGTAAATTTTAAAATAAGGCAAATGTAGGGCGCCTGGCTGGCTCGACTGGAGGAGCGTGCAATTCTTGATCTTGAGGTCATGAGTTTAAGCCCTATGTTGGGTATAGAGATTACAAAAAAAAATTAAAACAAATTATAAAAAAGTAAAATAATGCAAACACAACTGGAACACAAAAGCTCTCCCAAAACTTTTCTTTAGGAAATACTGTGTTCACTGAATTAAGTTGAAAACTGGCAATATTTTAAAAGTGTGAAACCTGTCACTTAAGTCTGAAGAATAACTGTTCTCAGTTTCTCCAAGGTTAGTCTATTATTCTCTATGAAATGAAAGCAAATGAGGCAAAAGACTTTTAGCACACCTTGACTGGAGGAATATGAACCTATATTCTGGATAAAGTCAACTCAGAACAATCTTACGGTATTTAAAATAAAACACCTAAATATACTAAAGGCAACCAAATGAATCCAAAACAATCAGACAGAGAAGTACTGGTATAAATTCAATTTTTCGATTCAGACACTCATCAATTTTGTTGCAGTTACCTTGGCATCATTATCCAGATAACATGCCCTGTGTTTATAAAACTAGTATAAAAGTATTCAAGAAAAATGGTGGTTTGGTGGAAGGAAGAAAGAAATGTTAGGGACTTGCACATAACATTACTCTATCAAATTTTCTTCCCATAGCTTATTAGAAAGAAGTCTATTAAGGCTACCATCACAGAAGCAATAAAAAAGGTGTTTCGCAGACAGTCAACACAGCCTGGAAAGAACAGTTTTTTTGCCAGGTCACCTTATTCCTCAGTCTAATAACCGTTGCTTTCTAATTTGATATAATCATCACATTCGGGACCAGTGTGCTCATACCAAAACTGATCACCAAATAAACTGATAAACTTATCTTTTAGCATTTTCTTGAACAACGATTCTAAGAAACTTCCTTTCAGATAAAAAAATGTTCCTCAAAACTTATTGTGTACTCAAGAGCATATACATATCTTTTATTTATTTCTTTAAGTTTATTTGAGAGAGAGAGAGAGAGGGCAGAAAGAGAAGGGAGAGAGAGAATCCCAAGCAGGCTCTGCGCTGTCAGCACAGAGCCTAACATGGGTCTCAATCTCACAATTTCAAGATCATGACCTGAGCCGAAACCAAGAGTTGGATGCTTAACTGACTGAGCCACCCAGGTGCCCCTACATATCTTTTATTAGGAAAGAGTATGAAGCTTTAAGCATAAAATTTAAGGAAGTTTACCAAGAAATAAATAATTTTTACAGCTAAAAATTTGGGGATATGTCTTATCCACCTACCATTGGACCCCTAGTAGTGTTTCTTAATCTTTATAACTTTACTTGCAACTCAAAGGGAGCTGATAAGAACACAGCTATTTTTAAGTAAAATAGCTATTTATTCAGCCTCTTGTCATGCCAAAATGTTTTGTGCATATACCACTATAATTAGCACACCCTCTGAAACAGGCAAAATTGTACATCAAATTATATTTCATGTTACCTGATTATATAAAAATGTAAAGTGAAAATGATTTATCAATTCCTTTTAACGTTACTAGTAAACAATTCAGCAGTAGATATGAGGCACAAAATCTTAGTAAAATATGACAGGAAGAGCAATAATGTAATTCTCACTTAACTTGTCATAATTTGTTATGAATATACAAAGACAAATTTCTAAAATGTTATATTTACTAAGATTCTGGCAATAGCTTTATGTAACAAGACACAGCATACCAGGCCTGCCACTCAACTTGTTTATGGTAAGACTCAGCTTCAATATGAAGCTGTTTGGAAAAAAAAAAAAAAAAAAATTAGAAGTCTGCTTTTTTTTTTTTTACATGCTAAGTATCTTGGCAAGTATGCCATTAAACACAGTATGGAATTTAAGACAGCAAGAATAAGGAGTTAATAAAAGCTAAACACTGCAGCCTAAACAAAATTCATACAAAAATAAAATAACTATCACTGGTTACATAAAATTTTCCTGACTGGTTAAAACTAACAGTATAAAACATGCATTTTAGAATCTTTAGCTATCAAGTTCAAAAAGTACCAGTGTCTATTGGAAATGATTCCTCTCCAAAGCCAAAGTGTAGTCAAAATTAATTCAAATGTTATAACACATTCTAATGCTAAAAAACATTCAGTATTATTGAAGTGGAGGTAAATCCCAGAGCTTTTGGGGCTTTGTCGTGCTGCAAAAGGCTGTTACTCTGGTTCACTTGAAGCAGCAAATGACAAGAGTCCAAGGATGTCTAAGGGCAAGACTGCTGTACCAGCTCTGACCTCCCCATGAAGCATGGCTACTGTGTCCACAAAAATAGGATGTGTGAGGATAAAAGGCACGCTATTCTGCTAGCTAAAGAGATAGCAAACCACCCCCCCAACCCTAAAAGCTCCTTCCCCGGGTAAATAAAAGTATATAAGGGGAAAAAATTCAAATACACTTATCTACAGAATAAGGATTTTGAAATATCAATGTAATCCCTATTTCCAAAATGTTAACTCGAGTCATCTGGTCATTTCTAATTACATCTTAATGATATATCCAGATTCGATTTCTGTTGATTTATCATTAGATACTTCAAGTCAAAAATATTAACTTTATCCCCAAATATCTTAACCACTAGCACAACTGCAATGTATTATCTCCCAGAGTTGTTAAGCACTGGAAGAGAAAAAACTGATGTTCAAGCAGCAGGCAACAATTATGGCCCTTTCACACAGAGGCATCCAAGTGGCTACTGAATAGTCCAGTAATAATTCTAAAAACAAGAAAATTCATGCATTTTAGTAATTATGTCATAATTTTCACAGTTGAGATTTCCTTAGACATTGCACTTTCTTTATAAAGGAATCCTGATTTTTCTTAATATTATGGCGAGTTGGGACTTGAACTAGCAGCCTTCTTTTTCTTCTTCTTATTGTGTTTCTTATGCTTCTTTTTCTTTTTTGTTTTTTCCTGTAAAGAGAGTTCCCTGTTAGACATTTCTACAGGAAAATATGCAAGTCTAAAACAACTTTACCATGGTACTTCTAAGCTACTATATAATTATTTCAAACAATCCACACAACCAAGTAAACTATTCGGAACATTTTTGGAAAAGTCTAAATAATTAATATCATGAGGACTAAGAGTGCTTGTTTTCAAAAAGATATGGAAAAATTCTTAAGTCATTAGCACATTAATGTAGTTTCTAAATAAAACTTTCTATAGAAAATAAATTCTATGAATAATCATATCAACTGCTGTATCTCATACTATATAATTTGTAAAGGCGAAGTAATTGTAGTTATTGCAAAGAAGTCCTCATATCACAGCAAAACACAACTGTTTTTATAAATGACAGTTTTTGGAAAATATATATATTAAATCTGGTATTTTTTGGGTAAACAGGAACATAATTATTAGGTCCTGTCTTCACTGGTAACTATTTTAATTATTAAATTAACAACAACTAACTGGTACAAAATACTGATGTACAGTTGAAAAGTCTACTTAGCTTAGTAACTTTAATTTTTTAAAAAAGCTTTTATGTAAGCTCTATGCCCAGCATGGGGCTTCAACTCACAACCCCAAGATCAAGAGTCATACGCTGTACCTGCAGAACCAGCCATGCATTCAGATGCTTACTTTTTAGACAAAAATGCCACTAAAGCCTAGAAAAAGTAGTCAACTCATGACTAGATAAAGAGAGCTACAATTTTGTTGAACTCAGACTCTTGTGACTATTTCTGATGTAGAAGAGAAGGCGGAACTCTTAGAAACAGATACTTAGAAAAGTGGTATCAAATGAGAGACTAGTTGTTGCAAAAGAAAATAAAAAGCAAGAAAGGAAAAAAAAAGCAAGAAAGGAGACGTGTAAAGACAGCAAAAGCAAAGCTTCCTATCATTTCTGAATCAATAAGTACTTTCCACAATCCCCCTGCCCCTCTCAAAGGTCTCTACCACTTAGCAGCTTTAAGCTAACTTTCATCATTCTCTTCATGAAAAGATCAAGTGCACAGGGAATTTTACAAAATTCCCTGTATTTGGCCCTTTAAACGTTTTGGGTCTAGGTTGCTTTTTCATAAAAGCACAGTTGACTACTCTCTTTCTAAAATACTTTTCTTCGTGGCTTCCACAACACCTCAGTCTGCTGCTTTCTTCTACTGCAAAGACCCTTTCACCTCCCGTCCTTGTTCTTATTCCTCTGCTTGACCTTTCAGGACCTCCTTCCTTTTCCACATGCTCTCTCAGTCTCCCATGCTTTTAATAGTACTTACATACCAAATCTTCCTATCTAGTCCTTGC